GGCACGAACCCCTTCCGCACGGATATGTGCGTTTGGCCCCTCCTGGGGGATTAAGCCGGGCATGTCCCTCGACAGGAAGATGTTCCAAAAATGGTAAAAAGATAGTTTGGGAACGATGTTTCGGTGATTTTTCGACCATGTTTGAGCGTGTCTTTATTTTTCCGGTTTTTTGCAACCTCCGCCCGTAGAAGCACATCGTCCCCCGGGTTCCCAGGACATCGGTCCCCTGGGCGGTGGATGATCACCCCGCACGCCAAACGAACACCGCCACGACCGCCATAGCAGCAGGGTCTCGACCCCAGAGCGCCAGACCTCGAACCCTCGACTGTTGCTCGGTCTGGTGTCCCAGGAGCTTGGCGGGTACTCCAGATTTCGTAATAAAGAGAGGGGGGTCTCATTTCGGGGGGGGTCTCTTCCAGGCTATCTTGGAGGGCCTGGGGGGGTCTCGGGACGATGTTTTGGAGGGTTCTCCCACGGGGGAGGTCTGAAATGGCTTGTCTTGGAGGGTCCTGACCCCCTCCCTTTTATTACGAAATCTGGAGCAGGCCTCTGCGGCCGTCTTAGGCTGGAGGCTGGCGGGAGGCGGGGTCTGGAAGGTGGTGCCGCCGGGGACGCGAGAGCCAGGCGCCGCTGTCGGAGGAGGGCGAGTCGAGACAACGGCGTCCCTCCTCCTCCTCCTCCTCCTCCTCCTCCTCCTCCTTCGCCTCCTCCTTCGCCTCCTCCTCCCCATCCCCCTCCTCCTCCTCCTCCTCCTCCTCCTCCTCCCCCTGCTCCTCCTCCTCCTCCTCCCTCCTCCTCCTGCTCCTGCTCCTCCCCCTCCTCCTCCTCCTCCTCCTCCTCCTCCTCCTCCTCCTCCTCCTTTCTTCCTCCCCCTGTTCCTCCTTCTCCCCCTCCTCCTCCTCCTCCCCCTCCTCCTGCTCCTCCTCCCCCCCCCCCATTCACTCCTCCCTCCTCGGGCCTCCCAGAGGCTTCTTTTCGCCACGGCGGCTGTCCGCCTCGAACATCCTGCCAATGGAGCCTCGAACGGGCTCGGAGAGCACAGGGTGCGAGCGGGCCCGTGGCGGGCGGGATGGCCGCCGTGGCCTCGAGAGGCCTCCCTGCGGTGCCAGGTGCAGCCCTGGCCATTAATGGCGGTGGCCTTGGCTTCTCCAGGGAGGCCCAGAGGGCCTCCAGCCGGAGGCGCCCAGGAGGCGGGTAGGGACTGTGTGCGTGCGTGCGTGCGTGCGTGCGTGCGTGCGTGCGTGTGCCTGTGCGTGCGAGCGTGTGCCTGTGTGTCTGTGTGTGCCTGTGTGTCCGTGTTTGCGCGTGCGCGCGTGCGTGTGTGAGTGTGTTTGGACATCCGGGCTGGGGCAATGAGACGTCCACCTTCTATGGCGCCGGTTTCCTTTTTCTTGTGTTTCTTCTTATCTCCGATCTGATTAATATTATTGTTCGCGCTCTTGTCTTTATGTTTCTTCTCGTCCTTGTTCTTCTTCTGCACTCGCTGTCCCCCCTTCATCCGCACACGTGCCCCGGGCCAGGATGCGCTGACCCTCCTCCTCCTGCCCCCCCTCCTCGCCGCACACGATCCAGAGCACCCCTCCAGGGGCCTGGACGGCCCCCGGAGCCCCAGGGACGCCGGGGGGCACCTTGAGGCCAGGCTCCCCTCTGGCAGCCGCCGGGCGAGCGCGAGGACAGCCGAAGGGGATTGGCACAGGGCGCTCCTGCGCGCTACCCTTGGGGGGGCGGGGGGCGGGGAGCAGGAGAGAGGGTGGGAGGGGAGCGGCGGGGGGGGATGCCCGAGAGGAGGGAGTGCAGCAGGAGGGGGAGAGGCTCCAGGCGGAGGGGGCGGAGCAGGATTTGGGGGGGAGGGCAGTGAGGTCGGGGGGGGAGGAGGGAAGGAGGAGGAGGAGGAGGAGGAGGAGGAGGAG